CGCAAAATGCAAACTACTAGGGTCCCCTGTTCTGCTTCTTTGAGGATACCTTTTTCGGGCTGGTTGCAAGAGAAACCAAAACGAACCCACCAATTGGGATTGAAATTTAATCGGTTCCGGACCCTTTGGCGGCATTCGGTGGGGATTCATTCTCTGTCTCTCTGTCTTTCTGTCCCATCTCTCCATCTTCCCCTGTCGATCTCTCTTTGTATCTCTCTCTCTCTATCTCTCTGTCTCTCTGACCCTCTATCTCTCTAGCTCTCCAGCTCTCCAGCTCTCAATGTAATTAACCGATCTAATCCAATCCTGTCCTGTCTTGGAAGGCGGCACCCTTGCACGGAGCACCCTTTTTTATACTGCACTCTTCTCACAAAACCGACAAAAAAATCGACACCCGACAAAGCCGCCCTAGACCTCAGTACGGCTTGTTCCACCTCTTGAGGCGACTTTGAAAGGACCCTCGACGAGACCACACCGCGAAAGGACCCTCAACCGGCCAACGTGTTAAGTCTGGCCTGTACGGAGATCTTCCGTCTCACTGGGATTTACTCGCATTCTATAACACCCAGGCCCGTCAATACCGCAAGAATGCTGGTCCGTTGCTGGGATGGATTTGCAAGTGATGTTACCCCTCTATTGTAGAAAATGTGCTTCTAATTCAGGATCCTGTGAGTGTTTTAGGGGTCCTCTTTTGTGGAAGCCTTGTTTTTGCCGGAAACACCGCTGGAAAAAATATGGGCAAACAACTTGACAAACAAGTTGGACAAAAAAGGGCAAACAAATCCTGGCAAACATTGGGAAATCCTTTTCTTGAAGTGGTCCCCAAACCATCAGATTTAAGATAACTTCTTTACAAAAAAGTGCGGGCAAACAGTCACACAAAGGGGGGTGCCCACAACAGGCACAGATCCTCTTTAATGTGACTGTTTTGGGGTCCTCTGTAGTGTCCAACTGGTTTTGGGGGTTGCTGAAATAACGGTCCTTGGCAGTACTAAAGTAGAATTGGCAATACTACAGTAAGTACTGGGAATCTGAGAGTCGGCCTTGGCAATACTAAAGTACAATTGGCAATTCTAAAGTAAGTGCTGGGAATCTGAGAGGGGGGCTTGGCAATACTAAAGTAGAATTCGCAATACTAAAGTAAGTTCTGTCCCTGCCAGACCCCCAGGATTTTCACTAAAGAGGGTCCAGCTGACTGGTTCCACTGTTCGGGGGGGGGTGCGGGGGGGGTCCGTGTAAAGAGGGTCCAACATTCTCAAATCTGGGGTTCACACATTGTGGCTCATCAGAAAAGGGAAACCACCGTCAACTAACCATTTGGAGCAGTCCTTGGTCCTAAAGCACACGCTTCTGTGTACCCACCAAACGAATGCCGGAGCTGCACACCGAATTAGCCCCTGCCCGAAGTGTGGGACCTATCGCCATCAGGGGCAGGGCATTCCAAACATCCTCATAGCTTCTGAAAAAGAGCCGCGCTGGCACTTTATATCAGCTTTGACAACGAGGGAAATTGGATTGCTTACGATGGTCAGTGAGGGACTACTTGCAAATTACATCAGGTCACAATTTCTCCAACCACTGGTACCGTGGGCTTGCTATAACTCTCGAGTAGGGATTGCTGGAACTTAAAGCCTGACGCTTATGCCCAATAGCAAACTAAGGCCTTCAAAAATTGAGAGATTTGGTCCTACCAAAAAAAAACTGAAGTCATGCTAATACGAGAAGAACCTTAGCAACTGTTTAGCCCCTCCAAGGCATCATCGCGGTCCAGCCGCGTCATCATCGGCCCCCAATTTCTGCCGTCGCGCACCCGCTGCCATCGGGAGAGCCGCTCGGCCTGCTAGTCGCTGTACTGACTTCCACTGGAAACGACGCGCACCATCAGAACTGTTCTCTAAGTAGAAAAAAGCTACGATGCTTTTACCCTGTGCCCCAATCTCCAAACCAACGGCCAGGACGGCAGGTGGTACAATGCAAGAACCACAATCACTTTGTCTCATCCATGCGCCTGCATGTAATAGCAAAAATGGACGCCGAACTCATGGTCGTAGAGTAGTGACCCTCATCTGTTAGAGACTCAGACTACTACACAAGAACATCTTATGGCTTGCAGAGCAGTTGGTGTGTTGAGTGGCCTCCTTCATCAATGGTATCCACATTGGGCAATATGACCGGAGGCCAGACTATGCCCATCAAAGAGCTAGCTGGGGTGATGATTTCCAAGCTGGCTTCTGCCAACGGGACTTCTCCCGTGCACCTGGAAGAGACACACACGATCCAAGTTGAAACAGTAAGCCCTCGCTGGCCGTGCCAAGGGAGGCCTCGAAACACAGCCCGGGTCAAAACGGCTAAAGCGGCCTTTGCCGCGGTTCAAGCGGGTTATTTGATGGCAATGAGGCCGTGTTTGCGTGGCTCCTTTGCAGGAAGAAAGGCCCGGATCTCGCAGTTTCGCTCCCAAAACAGGTAGCTGTTTCAAAGCATGCGGCCTTGTCCCCTTTTTGGCCACGTTTGACAAGAAACACTGATACCACCCATATGACAAGGAGGGCTCCAAATTCGAGAAAACAACTCTTTGAGACCCTTTGTGGAAAGTGACAGGTTCATCGCCTGCAGGCAAAGTCATCTGCAGCAACGGGGCTTTGTCCCTGGTCCCTCAAAGACTTAAACCTGTGGCTGGTGGATCCCAGGTGGGCAATCCCTTTGATGTTCTCCATCTTCCCTCGCTTTGGAAAACCAGTCTGAGGATCCCAGCGCGCCGCAGACGAATCCGATGCTCCGTGGTTCTCTCGTGACCTACGGCAGGATTGTCAGGCTGTGTGCCTCCGCCTTTGAAAACACTGCGTTCGTTGGACTCCCCAGACATCAAGTAGGCATAGACTACACATTTCGAGCTGAGTCCTTTCCGCGACTCGCCAAGGCCAGCTCCAACCGAGACATGGGTGTGACGTTTTGCGACGATCATGTGGCTTTGGTTGAACGGAAGCCCAGGGCAAAACGAGCCATTTTGAGCGTTGCCCCTACTTAGAGACAAACCCATGTTTTCATCCTTCCAAGCCCCCCGATCCGGGCAAGGTGTAACAACATAAAATTGATAGTCGCGCAATGGAGTTGAAGATGTGATCTCAAGAGCTAGCAGGCCCAGAAAAATGAAGACGATGGGCATGTGTTGTGCTGTTTATCGGACAGTGTGGTGGAACCTCGTTTTCATGGTTGGATTTATGGCCAAATAACTGTCACAAACAAAAACACAAAAACGCAAACCACTTGTTCTTCGACATTTGCCGCAAAAAACAGCGGGTATCTGGAGCTGATGAGTAGCCCTTGAAAAAAAAATGCAAGGCTCATCCATCAAGAGACGGAACTGGCAGAAAAATTAGCAACTGCGGCGCAGTGTTAGAGTAACCAGGTGGAAGATTCTGCGCGGCTTGCGTGCACTCTGTCTTTTTCTCGTTCGTGCAACTGGTAACTTTCGTCAGGCATGAAGCCAATATGGCCCACGACTCGGCATGCCTAAGCATGTGTGCCCTGCACACCAAACAAGCGCAACCAAATCCTACTTGAAATACAGCACACCTGCCTGAGCATATGTGTTTCACTTAAGTTTCGGAGTACCTTGCCTGTCCTGCAAGAGCTGACTCAGAACAACATGCTTGATCTGCTGAGCAGGGTACACTGGCGATAGATTCTCAGGGGTAGCTGAGAATCCTTACTTATTACGACGGTGGAAGGCATCGCGCCTATGTGCCGGTTCAACATAAATATCGGAAAAAAAGAACTTGAAAACAGTGTGGCATCGGCACGCAAGCAATGTCTTCCTGTAGATGTGAGTCATAGACCGAAAGGGCACAAAGCCTCCTGGATTTAGTGAGGTTGCTTGCTGCTAGCAGCTCTCCCTAGAAAAAGAAGCAGGTGCCAGCAAACGCCTTTTTGGCATGGCAAGCCTGAAAGTCTAGGGAGAGCTGGGAAAACACGTTGAGTGCTGAACTGTCAAGCCCTTCGGTGGCCATCGCAGGCAATCTCACTATTCACGTGACTTACCGTTCTTCGCCGTTCTTCGCCGTTCTTCGCTAATTTTACACATAGTGATTACTCTTGCACAAAGCGGACAAGGCGAGTGACGCTTCAACCATCAGCAGGAACTCTTGTGTCACTCTCTTGTCAACCGCCAAGCTCACTAGGCAGCAAGTTTGCCAAGTACATATTCTGGGAGAAAGTGGTTTGGGCCTTCACAGTACATGCTGTCATAAACCAAGCAAACCCTCGAGAGCACCCAACAGAAGGCATTCCAAAAAGAGCGCGATGCCATGAGCGCGCATCGGCGCCTTCGCACATCAGCGGATTGAATAGCGACACGGCCTCAGCTTGCTATGCGAATACGCGAGGTTTGCAGCCAGCCTGCTTTTACGATTTGAGAAAGTAAAAGCAGCAAGCCGAAGGCAACAACGGACGCTGCCTTTCTCATTCTTCTTAATGGCTGGCTCAGATTCTTTTGTGAGGCCCGTCTGAGGCAACTAACGATCTTTTCTCAGACGAGAGTTTGTGGACCATCTGCTTCGATGTGCCATGCAACCATCGGGGATGTGCCGCCCATCTAGCAGCACTCGTCCGAGCCCTACTCAGCCAGGGCAAGTCATGCCAGCTTAGCACATGCGGTTCCAACACAAATCTAGGGTAACTTCCCCATTCTTTCCAGGGATCCTTCTTTCTAGAAAACCACCAAACACCCTGGGGAAATGGCTGGTTTTTAAAAGAACGATGGCTGAAAAGAATGGGGAATCAAGCCCTAGACCACCAGTTCCTTCAATTCAAGGGACTTGAAAAGCCAGAAAAGGGCCTGGAAGGCACCCAAAAGGGAACGCCAGAGGTTCAAAAAGTCGTTGAATGATCGAAACGCTAAGCCCACCCCTCTCTCAAAAAACACATGCAGCCCAGCAGCAACCCTATGCCTGCATGCAAGTCCTTGCCACTTGGCAACCCAACTCCGTGGCACCTGTCGGGAATCACCGAGTCCTGAGAGCGCGTCAACTTGTCAACCAAAGAGATAAAAATATAGCAGACTTAATCTGATCGACGACTCCAGGTATTTGTGAGAGTGTGGGTGTGTATGTGTGTGTGTGTGTGTCGGTGTGTGGCATGCAGGCAAATACACAAACAAACGAACAAACGAACAAACAAACAAACAAACAAAACAAACAAACAAACAAACAGACAAACAAACAAACAAACAAACAAACAAACAAACAAACAAACAAACAAAGGCAAATACTTGTGGTAACCAAGCAATGCGCAACGAGTAACAATGCTTGAAACAAAGACAAATGAGCCACGGGTATAGGACATGGCAAAATTGGGCTTGACCCCCCCAGTTGTTGGGAGAAACGTGGAAGGGTCCGTATGTCGAACCCAAACAACAAACTACCAAGAACACGGTCGGGTCGGCACCTCAAATCAAGCAATAATACCTGATCAATCCGCCTACGTGCGCACCAACTTATCAACCCATTTCCATCCATCCATCCATCCATCCATCCATCCATCCATCCATCCATCCATCCATCCATCCATCCATCCATCCATCCATCCATCCATCCATCCGCCCATCCATCCATCCGCCCACCCACCCACCCACCCACCCACCCACCATCCAGCCATCTATCTGTCCCTCCCTCCCTCCCTCCCGCCCTCCCTCCTTTCCTCCGCAATTCCCTCCCGTATTTTCAAGAAGTTCTGCAGTCATAGGTCTTCCTTTGGGTTGACCGCTTTGATTAACTTGACTGGAATTGATTCTCAATACAAGGCAGTGACTGCAGTGCAAAGAACCGAGCCAACCAAAGCCTCTCTCCGCTAACTTGAGCTCCTTCCGAAGGTCCGTGCTTCCTCGAGCGAGATGACCTTGTACAACTTCACAGGCGGGAGCCCTTCCTTGCCTCAGCATGGGCAGGTGAGATGACCGGATTTCTGCCCATGCCTTTCAAACTCGCGAAATCCGGTCCTCCGGGTCAAAGTTTTTCACACAGCTTCTGTCAACTTGCCAGCCAAAACACGGCAAAAGCGGGAGAAGTGCGTCCTCAGGTTGTCAAACAGCAAAATGGTGAGGCGAAGGGCCAGGTCCTCCTTCTCCTGCCTTGGCAAAATGATGGCCGATGCTATGCTCAGTTGTTCAGTGACCCTGGAAAAACGAGGGAACCCTTTTTGGGGAAGACCATTTTTGATAAACAACCACCCCAAAAAAAGGGGAAAAAGGGTGCCACTGAACAACTGAGTATGTGCACCAGCCCCCTCAGCTACAGTAGTCATGCAAACATTCCTTATTCTCACCATGCTTCAAATGCTGCACCTTGTGGCCGGGCTGCGATGGGCATATCACCACCAAATGCAGTTGCCCCTGTTGCTCCTTGTAACCGCTGCCTTCTCCCATGAGACGTACCTTGGCATCCGCTGACCCGGAGATTCTCTTCACGTTGACTCCTTTCCGGCCGAAGATCCGCTCCACAAACTCAAAGTTCTTGTGCGTCACAGCATCAAACTCCTCAAAGGTTACTGCGAAGCCATACTGCGGAACTTTGGGCTTCCTCCATTTCTTGCACACCCCAGTCACTTCGCCCGGACAGGTCTCACGAAGCGACTGGGCCAGGCCCACAGGACATGGGCCCAAATGCTCCAGGCCAGGAGGCGGCCGTACAGTCCCATAGCCAAAGCGGCTTCCATCATCGCTATCACAGGTGGAGTCGGAGCTGGAATTGTTGCTGCGCTTGCTGCTCTTATTGCCCTTGTAGGCAAACACCGTCCCCGGGTTGGTGCGCAAGCTGTCCATTGGAATCTTGGCAACTTGGTGCCAGTCTGATGGTACCCTCCAGTCAGCGGGCACGCCCACACCTGGAGTAGCCATGGCACGCAGCATGGCAGGGACCAGTTTGCACCGGGACTTGGGAAATCACGGAATGACTTGAGAGAACAAAAGCTGCAGATTCGGTTCTTGAATGGTTCTTGAATGGCCCTGCTCGCGCATATAAGACACTTGCAAAAGAGGCTCTCCCGAATCCCCCGCCTCCGCCCCAGTTAGAGGCATTTGTCAGCCCTCCCTTCTGCCACAAAAACGCCTGATATCTTGGCCCAGAAAGCCCAATGCAAAGGAGTACAACCCCTTGGTGCAACCAATCCCCGGCAGCCACGAACTTCGACACAGTCTTCCTGTAAAGATGGAAATTCCTTGCTCTGCGTCCCGAGTTCACGGATCCTGACTAAAACTATGAGTTATCCAACATTGGAAACCTCATGGTCGTTTCGAATTCTAGACCCCCGCAAAGAGCACAAAGGGCCAGTCAAAGTCTTGAGGCGGAAAAGCGGGCCTGGCAAGGGATGTGGGACCTCCCTCTTGCTGTCTCTTGTTTGTTTGTTTGTTTGTTTGTTTGTTTGTTTGTTTGTTTGTTTGTTTGTTTGTTTGTTTGTTTGTTTGTTTGTTTGTTTGTTTGTTTGTTTGTTTGTTTGTTTGTTTGTTTGTTTGTTTGTTTGTTTGTTTGTTTGTTTGTTTGTTTGTTTGTTTGTTTGTTTGTTTGTTTGTTTGTTTGTTTGTTTGTTTGTTTGTTTGTTTGTTTGTTTGTTTGTTTGTTTGTTTGTTTGTTTGTTTGTTTGCCTGCTTGCTTGCTTGCAGCTTGCTTGCTTGTTTGCTTGCTTGTTTGTTTTGTTTGTTTGTTTGTTTGTTTGTTTGTTTGTTTGTTTGTTTTGTTTGTTTGTTTGTTTGTTTGTTTGTTTGTTTGTTTGTTTGTTTGTTTGTTTGTTTGTTTGTTTGTTTGTTTGTTTGTTTGTTTGTTTGTTTGTTTGTTTGTTTGTTTGTTTGTTTGTTTGTTTGTTTGTTTGGTTTGTTTGTTTGTTTGTTTGTTTGTTTGTTTGTTTGTTTGTTTGTTTGTTTGTTTTTGTTTGTTTGTTTTTGTTTGTTTGTTTTGTTTGTTGTTTTTGTTTGTTTGTTTGTTTTTGTTTGTTTGTTTGTTTGTTTGTTTGTTTGTTTGTTTGTTTGTTTGTTTGTTTGTTTGTTTGTTTGTTTGTTTGTTTGTTTGTTTGTTTGTTTGTTTGTTTGTTTGTTTGTTTGTTTGTTTGTTTGTTTGTTTGTTTGTTTGTTTGTTTGTTTGTTTGTTTGTTTGTTTGTTTGTTTTTGTTTGTTTGTTTGTTTGTTTGTTTGTTTGTTTGTTTGTTTGTTTGTTTGTTTGTTTGTTTGTTTGTTTGTTTGTTTGTTTGTTTGTTTGTTTGTTTGTTTGTTTGTTTGTTTGTTTGTTTGTTTGTTTGTTTGTTGTTTGTTTGTTTGTTTGGTTGGTTGGTTGGTTTGTTGGTTTGTTTGTTTGTTTGTTTGTTTGTTTGTTTGTTTGTTTGTTTGTTTGTTTGTTTGTTTGTTGTTTGTTTGTTTGTTTGTTTGTTTGTTTGTTTGTTTGTTTGTTTGTTTGTTTGTTTGTTTGTTTGTTTGTTTGTTTGTTTGTTTGTTTGTTTGTTTGTTTGTTTGTTTGTTTGTTTGTTTGTTTGTTTGTTTGTTTGTTTGTTTGTTTGTTTGTTTGTTTGTTTGTTTGTTTGTTTGTTTGTTTGTTTGTTTGTTTGTTTGTTTGTTTGTTTGTTTGTTTGTTTGTTTGTTTGTTTGTTTGTTTGTTTGTTTGTTTGTTTGTTTGTTTGTTTGTTTGTTTGTTTGTTTGTTTGTTTGTTTGTTTGTTTGTTTGTTTGTTTGTTTGTTTGTTTGTTTGTTTGTTTGTTTGTTTGTTTGTTTGTTTGTTTGTTTGTTTGTTTGTTTGTTTGTTTGTTTGTTTGTTTGTTTGTTTGTTTGTTTGTTTGTTTGTTTGTTTGTTTGTTTGTTTGTTTGTTTGTTTGTTTGTTTGTTTGTTTGTTTGTTTGTTTGTTTGTTTGTTTGTTTGTTTGTTTGTTTGTTTGTTTGTTTGTTTGTTTGTTTGTTTGTTTGTTTGTTTCCCCGATTTCAGCAACCCTGCTTACCGCCGCTGGGGCTGTGGTCGTCGTTGCGGACCGGCTGTGTCGCCAGTGGCCGCGAGGTTAAAAGACAAAATGCCCGTGCTCTCAAAAGGACCTTGGTAAGGGCTGCCCTGGCCATTGCCCAGTCCCTCGATCCCGGAATGGATTGAGGCAAGCGCCGCGGCTTTCGCCCGAATTTTTGCAACTCCCTGACCTTCTCCCTTGGCCCTGCCAATGTCCCCGGAGCCACCCAGGCGCCCCTGCTCTGACCAAACCTCAGCGAGAGAAAATGGGCTCTGACATCCCTCTCCAAGCAGACCGCGCTAAATCCCCCCTACTTTGCGCACTCAGCGCTGCCTCGTCCCCATGGCTCAGCCGGCGACTGGTCCAACAAAATGTGTGACGTCTTCGGGTCGGGGGCCTTCCCGGAAACTCTTGCGACGCTGGCTCACAGGCTCAGGAGGAGAAAACAGGTCTGGAACGTTGGGCACCTGTTGAGCTTGCGAAGGCATGCACTTGGTTGCAGTTGCCGCCAAGAGTATCCAGAATGCATCCTGAAAACGGTGGCTACGGGCCAACTGCTGGACCAAATTTCCCCTGCTTCGGCGAGTGTCCTCTGTTGTAGACTAATTTTCGCCGAGGATCTGCGGTGCAAAAACTAAAAGAACCTAGCCTTCGACCCTTCGACCAAGAATCGCGAAAACTTGGCCGCGGGAAGAAAAAAGCCTCCCCGGAGCCGAAGCCCCCGAAAGCGTGAGCCCCAGCCGGGAGCCTTGCGACTGCTATCGGCGTGGGCCGAGTCCGAGTGGGCTGGGCTGAGCCGCGGGCATGGGCTCGGCCATGTCCACGGCGTTCTGCCAGGCCTGGGAGGCCTCCGCCCAGCGCCTCGCGAGCGGACACCCGGCCCAGCGAGCTGCGCGAAGCGTCGGGACGGGAATGAGTGCATGGAATGCGCTTCTCTTTTTGCGTGAGGCGGGTTTGCGGACCACTGAACACGGGAGAGGGAGAGAGGGAGAGAGGGAGAGACAGAGAGAGAGAGAGATGGAATGCAACTGGTGCTTACTTTAAACTGGTTCCGAACATAAACCATGCCTTGCTGGCGGTCCAAAACCAATTCCCACCATGTGACTTGGTACTAAAAGGGTCTATGATCTATGCAAAAACATGTAGAGCATCAAGAAAGCGGCCGCAACTACTTGTGGCTCGGACTGTCCTTGCTAGTAGAGACTTACCCGGGTGCTGATCGTGCCCAAGAATGAGTTTCGGCGCAAGGTACTGGATGGAGCTTGCCGCCGCCTTGCACATCACAAAAACGGAGAGGCAAACCACGGCTTCCTCTTGATTGAACGCAAATCAAGTCCTTAACGAGGTTCTGACCATCAACCCCAAGTGACCTCTCACCCCCTGAAGCCATCGGTCTTGGGTTTTGGAACGCCTCGTGGAGTTCGTATTGCTATGCTGGAAGAGAAGTCGAATCGAGTCCGGGTCATGGTTATTTTGGCTTCATGTGTATTGTCCGGCGCCTTGGGGCAGAAAAACCTTCAGATTCGCTAGCCGACCCGGCGGCAACCGTTCTGAGAGCGGGCACTTCTGGCGCTCGAGGTTGTCCGCCAGACCTGTCGCTCTCTAGCCCCTGCGGCAACAAAAATCGCCGGAGGGACCAAAGGCCCCCACAACCTTCTTGGAAGGGGTCGAAAAACCAGGAAGTGCTGGACCGGAACGAGCTCACTTGCCTATATCCCAGCTTCAGGAGGCCCATGACGGTTGCCTGTAAGGTGAGGTCGACGAATTTAGACTGAAGCGTGGCACCAAGGATGGTCGTACAATGCTTAGATGTTTCAGCAAAAAGCTCGGAGGCGAGATGCAATTAATCCTTGATTGTCATTTGTGCCTCAGAGGGCAAGCGCCAGTGCTAACATGTTGTAGTGGCTTGAAAGAAGAGATCCACAAAAAAGATATCAAAGCTCTTGCGGCCTGAAACGTGCAACTGAGCTGGAAAAAGCTACGCAGGAAGGGACGTAGGCCCTGCCCTTTGGGAGCAGTGTCCGCACGTCTCAGACTACTTTGGTTTCCAGGGCCGATATCTTTGTCATGGAGCCACCTCTCCGGATTATAACTTGAGACACCCCACCAGCCACCAGACGCCCGAGGCCCCCGCCAACGAAGCCACGGTAGGTCTCAGGAATCGCCTTCTCCTCCTGGCCCCAGGAAGAGCAACATGCGGTCGATTCTGAGGATGGACAAAATTCATTTCGCACCACCGAAGAAACCATGGTTGACACCATTGCTTGTGGTAGTTGCAGGAGAATCAACATTTCAGGGTTTCTTAGGTGGTGCAGGATTTCGTTCATCCACAGTTCCAAATTGCAAGTTGATCAGCTACACATAATGGTACGACGGGCTTGTTTTTTGAAAGCACTTGCTAGGGAATACCGTAACCCTCTGAGAACCCTCAATTAAAAGCCACATTCCACAAGCTCATGGACGCAACCTGACATTCCGACGCTTACAAGCAGTTCACTTTGGGAGGCCCCCTGACAAGCATTCACGGGGAAACTTCACCCACCCTAGGCCCTCCCCTTGAGAATTTGGAAGGGCGCTCGCGCGCTGTGATGCAACACAAACCAATGCAAAAGCCATCTGGCTATGAGTTTTGACTGGTTGAAGCACCCTCCAAAAAGGCCAGTGGACGTATGCAAATCCAACCACCAAACGACATCCACCAAGGGCCCCCCATCGAAAAAGGTTTGACACCACACGTCCAAATCTCGAAGCACCTGTTTAGCATATTAAATATGGCTCTGCTTGATGTGGGCAACTTGCCAAATCTTTGATTTCTCGCAGGCCTTTAGAATCCCCAAAACAGAAAATGCATCATCAGAATGTTGAAACACAGCATGTGCACACATTTATTGTGAAGAGTTGGGAGGCAGTGTTCAGGCATTAAAACGGGCTGAATCATAGTATGCCTTCACTCCACCCAGCATCCCACCCTGTCTAGAGCAAAGTCCAGCATCAAGCAAAATGCGCAAGATTCAGTGCCGCCCTGCTATCCAATGATGCAGCAGGAATCTGCAAAAGTAAACCTGACGCCTGTTCGAAGTGATGAACACCTCGAACAGCTGTCCCAACACTGAGAACGCCCTTCGGAATGGGGTGCTGGGCTGGAACATAAATTCAGGAAGCCAGCTGTTTGTGTGCTGTCTTGGCACTTGGGATCCTCCACTTCTGGAAGCATTCAAATCGGTATGAATCTTAGTTGGGGACTCTTTGGTAGCATTATTCACGTCATTGGATTCATGTCCTGTCCCAAACATTTTGGAGCGTGTTTCAACCATTCCAAAACCATAAAATAAGAGACCCCTATAGATTGGCGATTTTCCCCGTAGCTCCCCATTAATTTGACTCGCACGTCCGGCCTTGGAAATGGCCATCTCCAGAAAGTCGTGGAACAAGGCCTGCGTCGCAGGCGAGCGACTCTAGTCTCCTTCAAATGAATGTCGGGGGGAACCTCCCCAAAAAATGAAATTGTTTGGTGTCCCTTTGCTACCCTTGCAAAAACAAAACACCCTAAATAAAAAACAGACCCTTAAATGATTCTGAACAACAGCGGCTCTGCCCAAGGGAGGGTTGCGCACAGGGCTTTCGACATCATCTTGACTCGGCTCATCTCAAAAAATCCTGGATTGTTGGTGCCTGGCGACTGTCCCTGAAAACATATCAGAACACGATTGCCGCAGTTGACTCAAATGGCCATGGGTCAAAAGCCCGTACCCCTGGGTGGTGCTCCTACCCCAAAATGGTACCATTGGTTTTGACCCACAGCCATATCGGAACACAATTGCCGCAGTTGACTCAAATGATTTTCGCCCCGGACCCAAAACCGGCTTGAAAGGCATGAATGTGAATATGCGCCAAAACTTTGGGGACCTTGTGTTGATTCATTCTGAAAGTGAACCAATGCAAAACAAAACATTTTGAGGAGTTGTTGCTTGTCCACACATGAATTTGTGGCGGTAATTTTGAGGGGAACTGGACATCATCTCTAAAGGGCACTAGTACCACATGCAGGTAGCACGTTGCACCGTCTATGGCGCTTACATAGAGACAGAGAGAGAGACAGAGACAGAGAGAGAGAGAGAGACAGAGAGAGAGAGAGAGAGAGAGAGACAGAGAGAGAGACAGAGAGAGAGAGAGAGACAGAGAGAGACAGAGAGAGACAGAGAGAGACAGAGAGAGAGAGAGAGACAGAGAGAGAGAGAGAGAGACAGAGAGAGAGAGAGAGACAGAGACAGAGAGAGAGAGAGAGACAGAGAGAGAGAGAGAGAGAGAGACAGAGAGAGAGAGAGAGAGAGACAGAGAGAGAGAGAGAGAGAGAGAGAGACAGAGAGAGAGAGAGACAGAGAGAGAGAGACAGAGAGAGAGAGAGAGAGAGAGACAGAGACAGAGAGAGAGAGAGAGAGACAGAGAGAGAGAGAGAGAGAGAGAGAGAGAGACAGAGAGAGAGAGAGGAGAGAGAGCCAAAAAAAGAAGGAGAAAAAAAGGAAACCTCCGACTTTGCGGTTCCCCCAGCTGGGGCTGGCTCTTTGAGGCCCTCTTCCTGATCCCACTTCCCCATTACTTGACTTCACATGTCTACCTTGGGCTTGTCGCAGGGTTCCAAATTGACGGCTGGTTCCAGTTGGGAAGGCTCTAATGGGTGTCCTCTAAATTTGGGGACATGTTGCCCCTTCACGATATATCTGGAAGATCTTGAAAATTGAACTCGAAATTATTGTCCTGCCCAAAAAAACCTGCACGAATAAAATAGGCGGCGTCACTCCAAACGGACCCTCAGTTGGCAAATATGTCAACGTCTAGCCGTGCCTTTGACAAAAAAAGACTACAACAAGTTTTCTCGCTGAGAAGAAATCAGTCTTGCTTCCCTGTACCCACCAAGACGTTCTTGCCAAAACAAGCAGCCCCGCATACCCACAACCAATCAAAAAGTTACGGAGGGTGGGAGGCGCAGCGAATCAGCGGCCTCTGCTTGCATCAACTTCCCAGTCTCACCTGGCCCAAGGCTCCCTTGGGTGGTTTGCCTTCGGCTCGCCTTCCAAACCCCAAAACGGGGGCTGGTTGGTGCCTGTGTTGGCAAACACACACTCTGGCAGCTGCCAGAAACATGAGCAAGGCTCGCTGCCCCTTTGTTTTTGCAACGGATTTGCTCCGGATCAAGATCCTCAAACAAAAGTGGGCCAACCATGACTATCTCAAGACGCCGGCTGCTCATCACTCTGAGGTACCGCTTCGTGAAGCCAAAGATTGCATTCTTTTTGGCAGTCGTGTACCAAACACAAGTCCTCTCTCAGGAAGCTCCCATGAGAAGCGCCCCAAAGGCTCGGCCATCCTCAAGCTGGTCGAATTGCAACTCGCAGTCAGGGATCGCTACGAGTGAAACCCATCGAAAGATCCCGTTCCATGGGATGATGCTCAGGACAATCTCCGAACAAATGAAAAGCATTTATATGGGTCATGTTGTCAGCGTGGACCATGACCAAAAGGCACATGGCAGGAGTCTTGACCGACATGTTGGTAGCCATAGCTGCAGTCAGGTATGCTCGGAAACTCCACCTGCCAACTAGAATCTGGACAACCTGTGTGTGCATCGGGCAATGCAAGCCATGGTAGCCTGTGACTTCAGGCAAAAACCCAGTGCTCCTGATGCCGACTTGTGGGATGCAGAACTTACGGCGGTGCCGGATGGGGTAACCCCTCTTCAGGTCACCGCCCCAGCTCCGGATGGTCGAGCCGTTGATGCTTGAGCACGTGCCCATAATACGTCGATCAAATGGCTGGTTTTGCAAATGTTAACAGACCGGAGAACTTCCTCGGTTTCCACAAGAGGTATGCAGAGCTCCATGAAGCTCGCAAACTGGTCAATGCGGTTCTACACGCTTCGCTTGAACATTGGGCGGGCCTCTGCGCGTGCTCGACTTCATTTAGGAGCTGACGGAGGTGAAGGGCCAGCTAGCTCAGGGCGGGTGCCTGAGCCCGTGGCCTGCCAGCCAAGCTTCACCATGTCCCAAGGCGGTGTCTCACAAGCTGGAAGCCCTCATGGTGTCACGTACGGTAGAGTGGATGAAGGCCTCTTGGCAGGAATCCAAGCCTGTGCAGTGCAGTCAGCATGACCCAACTGTTGGCCAACCTTCAAATGACTTTGGGGGTGCCCGGGCCAATCTACGTCCACACGGCTGATAAGTGGCTTGAGCCGTGAGGTGCAGATGGTTTTGCCCTCTGTTGTTGAAGATTGCCCAAAGTGCTTGGGCAGTGAGGTTGGAACCGGTCACGCGCACATGCAGTTCGGCCATTCTTGGAGGATGAGGACAAATGGGACCGGGTGCAGGAGTGGCTCCACTGGGTTTTGCCGCAAGAGGTGACCTGGCGTAAAGAGCTCGTGTCACTGGAGGTGGCGCCAGCACTTCGGTGCCCGATGGCCTTCACAGTGGCGTAATTGCACGGCTGGTGGGTTTTTGTTCCCCGGCAGTTCCGCCGACATGGCCGAGCTGGACTGGAGGCAACGACAAAAGGAGACAAAAGGAGTCTTGACCACGGCACGCACGACGAATCCTAGGAGACACCCAGGCGGTCGCTTGTGGCTCCTGGGCGAATGCCTCCTATGCACATAGTGATTAGACCTCAGACCAACCTGAAAACAGTCACCCCAGAGTTCCTTGTTGCTTGAAGTCTTGCGAGGATGAGACAACGTGAAGCCGAGTTATCAAGGAAGCAAAGCAAATGCCAAGCTTCAGCGTTACATGCCGAGGCGTGAGACTGCCAGAGTGCCACGGGAAGTGGTGCCGCCAGGCGCAGAGATCCAAAATCTCACTGCAAACCCGTGTTGTGAAAACCGCTGATTGCAACACCGGAGCTGGCCAAAGCGACAAAGACACAGAGAGACATGCAAAAGACACAACAACAACACGAGCAAGCCGCGGATTCAAAGCAGTCTAGTGATGTTGACTCCCATTCTATACAGACTTAAGCACCAGAAGACATCGCAAATCAAATGGCAAACAGCCAGGCCATTTTGGGCGCCAGTGATTCCCCCCGCCTTGCTCGGTGAGTACTGTGGCCAAGCCGAACATGGTGGCATAGTTCACCTCGCTTCGCTGTTCCGGAACCCTTCTCTCCCTCTCCCTTTTTGGGGATTGACCTGCGGGTTAGGCCTCCCCATTGATTGGTTGGCACAAAGGAAATCGAAGCCTTCAAACACACCCAATCTCGAGCTTGAAACACACCCATATCTCGACGAAGCTAGACATGGGAGAACCTGCCTGTGAGGTGTTGCCGGATGTCGGTGCAAACGCAGCGGAAAACAACGAGACGGGCAAAACCGGAAAATCTCCTCCCAATGCCAAGGGAAGAGAACCGTTTTGCTTCCGCTCCATGGAGACTTGTTGAGCCCCGTTTTGCTGGAGCTCGTCTTGATCTCCTCGGTTCTGTTTGAGCCTCGTGGCGGCTCTCAGGTCTTTCCCCCGAACTGCCAGTCGTCAAAAGACATGAGCGAATTCCGCCAGCAGACCGGTCAGCAGACCGACATACAACATACCATCTACAGGGGGCCGATGCAGAACTTTGCTCCAGGGCGAGTGGCTTGGCTTCGTGTTGAACAATTTGTTCCGATTCCTTCCTGCAATGGTCGCAATGGGCAATTGGCTCACAGATACCAAGGAAACTCCTCGTCTTCTCTTTACGTGTAGAAGTCACATCCAAAATCGCCCAACCAGCTTCGACAATGGGAAGCTTTACGTGGCCACACAAAGACCCCCCCCCCCGCCTTGTCCGCCTTCTTCTGACTCTCCCAGGCCTGCAGAAACTTTTCCTCCGCGTCCTGGAACTTGCCTCGGGGCAAACGATACTCACCTTCTCCAGTTGAAAGTATCTGGAGTTCCTCTTTCGGTCGAACAAATCAATCCATACATGTCGAGACCAGGGGGGCCATAGATATGAGAGATGTTGGCTGTGACAATCTGGGGTTCCTCTTTCGGTCAAAGCAATCCAAACATGTCCCAAAGAACAAGGGATGGGAGATTCTCTTTTGACTTCCTTTGAACAAACCGTCCCAAGGATGGCACCCAATTTATTCTTCATGGGGACGCCTCCCAACGTTTTGCTTTGTTGGCTTTTGGGAGTCCACTGGTGTGAGCACAGCACTTTGCCGCGCGACTCTCGCAATCCGCAACAGTTCGCAAAAACGAGGAATGATCTGGCAACCAGTGCGCACGAACCAATGGCAACAGCCAGCTGGAACTCAACTCGAACACTGCCTGCTAAGTATTTATATATATATATATATCCCAAAGAAAGAAAAAAAACAGAAGCACTAGCTTGAATGTGGGTGCCCTTGCCAGGACATGGGAGACATGGGACAATGGCCTAGTTCCTATCTGCGGAGCAAAGCGATCATGAATACCTCGTACACTGCTCCAAGAACTTCAAGCAAACATCGAAGGCAGCCGTTGGATCAAACCGAGCCAATGCAGCCTGCAGTGGGTCTCACTTCAAGTCAAGCCCCGCTCGGTCAAAAATCCATGTGTCATAAGCTTACCACGCCAGCCGCAGCTTGTGACCAAGAAGTCGATAGAAACGTGAGAGCTCGGCACCCTTCCCAGGATCCGGTGTTGACCCCGCTCCCGGTATTGCCAGACCCCATGAGTCCAGTACAGTGACATCCTCTAAATTACCCTCTAGATGAGCAGTTCAAAGGGAAACCACCCACCACCGCAACTACCAAACTACAACTACCTTCAGGGACGCTCCAAGGATCCAACTTTCTCTGAAGCCGCCAAAAGGCCCAAAACATGGGACCCGCCCACCCCGAGCCCAAACCGATAAAAAAAGCTCGTTGCGCGGCCTTCCTCAGTGAAGGCCACCCCCAAGTTGTGGAGGACCACCGGGTCCTCAGGCGCATCCTGACCAGCGCACCAGCGCACCCCCAGGCAAGGCCCTCAAGGCGGGTGGGCATGTCTTTTCTTGAGTCGACCCCCTCCCTGTTTGGGGTTGGTCCGTTGCAAGGGAAGCCAGGGCAGCGACCAGTTTGGAGTTTGGGGTAGGGAGACTAAAAGGGGAACCCAACGAGTCTGGGGCGTCAACTTCGAAAAAGAGCTTGAGACTCGAAAGTGTGGCAACCTCCTCCAGGCTCCTTGGCTCCTTGGTTTGTGGACCTTTTGGTGGACATCAACATTCGGTAAACAATCATGTCCACCACTTTTGAGGACCCCAGGATAAGACCTCGCCCATTGCCTTCCAAGCCGGGGAATCCACTCGATCGGATCCATCCGCCCGCCTTGAGCATCTTCATGAGCTCTCTCGTGGCATCCTCGAACTTCCCGGCTGGCAAAGATGGGCGCTCGCTCGGAGTTCGGCAGATCCGAGCCACTGGGCGTGTGGCTCGTGTTGTTTGTTCTTGGAGGCTCGGTACATTTGTCGGGGTGGGCTTGAAGGAAAATCAACAGCAAAGCCGAAGCCATTTGTTGGGTCCGCTTTTGACACGCAACCAAATGGAGCCACGAGGGAGCGCTGAGCTGGAGAATGACGTGAGGAAATGGGGGCGCTGGTGTTTTCGAACCCCTGTTTGGTGACGAGGGAGATTATATACTGAGAAATGGCACCTTCTCCCAAAGTAGCTTCAAAACAACAACGGACCGCCCGAATGAAAGACAAATTGCCACACCTCTGCCACACTGCAGTCTCGCCTCGATGCGTTTTGGACCAACCCATGCTGAGCCATTCGGAATCTCAACTTCGAACTGGATGGCTCCTTTTGATAACGACCGCGGCTACAAATACGCCTCGCAAGACATTTGTTTAAAGCAGAAGCTTCGCAACTATTGGATACCTCATTGCAAACTTTGCACCCTCTGCTCCAAGGCTCACAAACCCCGGAACGAAGATGACACCTGAAGAAAAGTTGGGACTTTTGGTAGGAAGTTCGCGAGGTAAACGCCTGTGCCTTGAGAAGCCCTCCAGGCACTTTTGATGTAGGCGCGAAGCCGGGCCTGACATCAGCTTCAGGACGGGCGTCAAGTTGTCCTCACGGAGGCATGGTGTGAGTCAGTCAGAATGGAAATCGGTACAGGAGTCGACGGAAAACCGGGGCTTGAAAAAGCCTCTTGCCGCACCTGTTTGATGGTTGAGGCTGCCCCCTACTAGCTTCTATGCACCCGTTCGGTTTTTGAGGATAGGATGAATGCGCCTGAATCTCTTCAACACATGCTATACATTGCCACAGAGCGGTGTGAAGCTCATGTTCACTGATAGGCCATGAGGTTTCACCGAATGAGTCGGGAGGTGGGAGGTGTTGTTCAGCTCCCTGTGCATGTGCACACATGAAAAACGCAAAGACTCAAGACCTACATGCATTCAATGCATTCAGGTGTCACATGCGGAAAACTAACTAGGTGGAAGCACAAGCTGCTGTAGCAAGACAACATCCCTGCAGGCGCGTACAATTAAACCTCGTACGCATCACTCTTTGAATCTCATCAGTCCAAAAACCCTCAGCTCGCCATCCAATCACCGCGATCTTGGCGTATCGCTTCTTTGGAGTTCACGTGACAAAAGAATCCTGCAACCTGGAAAAGCAGCAACCCGGCCCCCTTCTTCAAACAGGGACACCTAACTCATCATCATAAAACAACAAGGGAAACCGTCCACGGGACAGCACAAGGGAAACCGCTAGATAGGAAACTATCTGGCATATGGCCATGGGTCAAAATCCCGTACCCCCAGTGAACATCCCAATCCACACGAAAATAGAAAAATGGGTGGTGCACCTACCAACCAAAATGGTACCAAAACGGTTTTGACCCACAGCCATACAAAATGACTCCTCCTCCACAGCCGCCTCGGGCTCCGATTGCTTCTGGGACTCCTGACGGCTCAAGAAGCCTCTGGGCCTCCTGGCCTTTCCAACAAGGACTTCTGTGGTTTGCTGTTCGTGGCTTGTGTTTTTGAGGTTCTCTCAGAGTTCTGGGAATAAAAATTACTTACGGCTCAAACTGTAAATTTTGCTTTTATGTTCTTGTCTCAGATGTCTGGGGATAAAAATGGCTTCCAAAGACATTGCAGGTCCAAGAAAGAACGCTGCTTCCACTGCCTACTCCTTGTATGTCTTTAGGCAAGTGAGGCCAACAGTTGCTGATATCTCACTTTCACCATCTGAACTTGGAAAAAAGGGTGCGCGTACCCGAAGCTGCCCATGTTGCCATACTGCTTTACAAAATTAGATAGAACTGTGGCCCCCTTGTTCCCCTGTAGTTATGCAGTGCCAGCAAACTTGCCTTCCTCAATGTGGCTCCCATTATCCAGACACCTCTCAAGAAACAATTCCCCTCGTAACGAAAGCCTTGTGCCAGGTGCAGGCTCAAGGTGTCGTTGAAGTAACCAAGAACATGACGTTCACAGCTCAAAAAGCAGATACAAACTGGGGGCAAAAGTTGCAAGACGGAGTGGAGCTCGCTGGACAAGCTACAGAACCACCGGAGACACAAATATCCTGTACATTGAAAGATCTGTGGAGGCGCTGATATATTCTGTATGCATGCTGCGAGCCAAGCAACCACAAGCTATGTCAACACCGTCCACCTGATCATGTTCATTTTGAACCGGCTTTAACTTTGCACAGGTGCTTGTGCTTGTTTGCTCCGAAGCAAATGAGTTTGCCGAAACAGGGCATATGCATGGAAAATACACGGATCTTTCGGCATCCCCTTCGCGAGAAGATTCTCAACGACATCCCAGGCAACCCCCCGCCTGCTCCTCTGCACCATCCTGGGTGGTTTGAGACTCCTCGGCCTGGCAATAACATCAGTGCCATGATCAACGATGGTTCCCTTAACTCCAGGGAGGCTGATATCATTGCCTGCAGATATACCAAATCATCTGGGCGTAATCCCAGACTGAGATAGATTAACATTGAAAACCCCTCTGAAGAGGAGAACCATCCCTACCAACCCCAAGCAAAGGACGATGGCACAAATCTGTCATACAGTTTGGCAACCAAGAAGATTCCCGGACTGGTGCTATCCTCACACGGCATCTTGTGCCCAGTATCTCCGAAATGAGATAAAACATATTGCCAGATTTGGGGTCCCAACAACACTTGCTGAATGCGGAATGGCCTCAGAAAGGACACAAGTACTGGAACGAATGTCAAGTTCTCTTGACGTAAATGCCTTGGTAAATGCCGCATCAGTCTTCGGTCCCGTGTCTGCTCATTTTATGAGGCAAATGAAACAGCCCAAGCCAGCCAGTATGTTTCGACCCTCCTCCTCTGAAGGGAAATCTGAAGCGGCGGTCGCCTGTCTTGCACCTAAAAAGTGTCTACTCCCCCAATGCGCAAGGGAGTCCATTCGGTTAAGATATAAACGTCCTTTTAAGGTCCGATTGCAGTGTGGGCGGAAAACCTCGTCCCACCAAAATCGTGGATGGAGACCCATACAAGCCTGCAAAAGGCCAAAGCCAATGGGCGTGTCTTTTCGTTGAGTTGGTGGCCTTTTGCTTCCTTACAAAAGGAAACTACCCATTTGGGGGGTCGGGGGGGAGGCTATTTGAGACACATTTAATAGCGGTTTTTGGTTATTTGGGGTATTGTTGTACAGGTCCAGCTAAGTCTAACATTGCCGACATGAAAAGTCGACAATCATATATATATATATATATGTGTATATATATATATATATATGAATATGTATTATCTATCGCTCTATCTATGTATTTTTGTGTTTGTGTACTTATTCATATATATATATACACAGACTTACATAAGCCATAACGCGGAAAAACTTTGGCTTGGGCCTAGCGCAAGTTGCTCAAACGCTTGTCCTTTCTTATGGGTTGTTCTGGATGTTGATCATCACCAGGCAAAGATGCAGGACATGACAAAGACTTGCGTGGTTTTCCCCCAGAAGCGGTCCACGAATGCGTTGGAAGGAGAGGAATTTGACCGGCAGAGAAGGCATGTGGGGTTCTGTGCGAGCTTGCGCCACCCACATCAAAACACTACAGAAGGGTTCTGTACAGCATATGCACACCACTTCACAATGCCGGCTGACTATTGCGCTGAGCTTCATAGAAAGCTTGTCTTTTTGTTTGTTTGCATTCAGTATTGTTCGATCTTGCTGGTCATCCTGATGACATGAATGCATCACGCTGATATTCAGGTTAGCTCTCAGTGTGTTTTTGTACACCTTGCTAAAACATCGCGACGTGATTAATCCGAGGCTTCTGGCTTGCCAACTGGTGTTGTTCAGCATTGCGAGTCCATGCCACAACATGAATCCCAATGTTCAATAATGTTTGGATGCATGAGCAATGTACGAAAAGATATCATGTTCTCAGCCTTCACCTTGTCAGGTTCTGCTTCGTGCGCTTCCTGCGCTTCGTCACTCCTCGGCCCAAGCGAAGACTCTCGAGGCAAACCAAACACAAATCAATGTGCCCCACACAGTGAGATGGGTTGATTTTCCCCAATCCAAGCGTCCATAAGATTGTTTATTGGCCAGTGGATTCGATGGCTCAGTGCGCTGAGTCCAAGGCATGGTGCCAACGCTGGCATCCAAGGCAGCTAAGGATTGAAAACAGCTGGCAGGCACAGCCAAAACGGCAATGCGTGTGCCAACTTTGCGGGCAAGGTCGAACCACGAGCTTTAACAAGGCGGATGCGCCAAGCCCAAAAAGGATGTGACAAGTGCCCAACACATCTGAGACTTGAAGCACGATGGCACTGCAAGCCCCACGCCCAAATCAAAATTGATTAAGTATACATATACATATACCCACAAAAAAATACGTATCGCCCAAGGTCTTTTTTAATGCTGTATGATCGTGCTGGCCGGTCTAGGGTTCTTAGGGTTTGGGTTTAGGGTCTTTAGGGTTTAGGCTTAGGGCTTTTAGGGTTTAGGTTTAAGGTTTCTTGGGGTTTAGGTTTTGGGTTGTTAGGGTTTAGGTTTAAGAAGGGTGTTCAGGGTTTCCAGGGTGTTTAGGGCTTGCGTTTAGGGTTTTTAGGGTTTAGGTTTAGGGTTTTTAGGGTTTAGGTTTGGGGTTTTTAAGGTTTAGGTTTGGGGTTTTTAGGGTTTAGGTTTAGGGTTTCTCGGGTTTAGGTTTGCTTGAAGCTGGCTGTCCGGCGAATCCGAGGCTGGCTTGTCAATTGTCTGGTTTAGGTTTAGGGCTGTGTTGATGATAGCACTATGCGTTTTTACGGCGCCTGCCAAGCTTTTTGTTGGTCTCGGGGACCCGCTTCCAGGCGGTCGCGGGCAACACATACGTTTGGCCGTACATATACACATATAGCATTAAGAATATAAAGAGGATGTTGTTATCTTATGAATAGGTCTTAAAATTCCAATAGACAAACATATATATATATATACATATGCTTTCTGCTAAGCCCTGCCCTCCCCCCCCCCTAAAAAATGGTAAAAAGGGGGGGCCCGGGGGGTGGCCTGTTGATGGTTGCCTGTTCTGGTTTTTATGTTCATCTCAAATCTGTGTTCCCCCTTATTCGTTTTGAAAAGGGTGTTTTCGGGGAGCTTATTTATCGTTTTCGTTAAGGTAATCACTTGGGTAAATTGTCGCCTTGTTCATTGTTGGGCTGGGGGCCGACATTTTTTCCATTTGAAAGAGTTAACCCTTTTAGTAGTTATCAAGTTCTGGGGTGTTGGTGGTGTATTTGTTTTGATGTCATGTCTGCATAGTTGAGTGATATCCTTGTCTGATTTAGGCTCACAAGATTGGTAGTGACTGTTCTGTTTACCTTTCTCACTTTGGTCATGTCGTCCAAAACTCAGACAAGTGTCAAGAGTGATGGATATGCCAAGCAGTCAGAAGACCAAGTTGAAGACACATCCACGGCTGTGCCTTCTTCACCGTCACCAGCAGACACTACGAATGACATGGCAGTTGCTGCTGTTGTTCAGATGGAGGAGGATGAAAAGGTTGCCGTCGCCTTGCAACAAAGCAACGATGAAGAAGAGACAGAAGAAGAGGAGGAGGAAGAGGAAGAGAATGCTGTTCCATTGATGGCAGATGTCATTGACGAGCAGGAAGTTTTAATCTTGATGTTCGGCGAGACCACAGACTTTCAGACCTATGCGGACAAGTTGAACACCATTGAGTCCATCGAGGAGGTCTTTCACATCATGGACAAGCAGTGCGATAGGGAGACATGCATGAAGCAGTTCTTGAGTGACAAACTCAAGGTGATGAAGACAGAGCAGAAGACGGTTTTGGATGCTATCAAGAAGAAGCAGAAGAAGGAGGAGAAAGCCAGGTTGACATCTGATGCACAGCAGAAGGTCATCCGTGTGACTGTCCACTTTGGAGCGGAGACCCATGACGTCACCCTCAAGAGTGCTCTGACTTTGAAGGGAGTGAGGTTCATGCTGATGACAAACTTCCCCCACTACTTCACGAGCGAGACCTTCGCCAAGACCTTGACCTATACCATCAACGGGCGTGACTCCACCATGAACATGAACCCCAGACGCACCTTGTTCAGTGCCGACCCACACAACAGCTGGCAACTCCGTGACAATGAGACCATCACTGTGACAGCACCAGACCCTACTGTTGCCAAGGCAAAATCCAAGGCAGCACCTCCGAAGAGCAAGGCGGCACCACCAAAGAGCAAGGCGGCACCACCAAAGAGCAAGGCGGCGCCTCCAAAGAGCAAGGCGGCACCTTCGACAAGTTCATCTAACCAGTGATGACAAGCATCATCAAAGTGAGTCCATCCTGATTTCCTGTATAGTGTGCTTCCCGATTTGTGCGAGGGAGGTGGTGCAGTTCTGATACAGATGTTCAGATGGTTCTCAGAAACTGTTCTCTGAAACGGTTGACCTGCGTGGTTGAAACAAATGCCAGCCATTGCATCACGTTGTTTTACTGTGCTTTGAACATGATTGCAAACTTGATTGTTGACGTCATGGTTCGTCGCATTTCAGGGAAGTTAGAAAGTAGCACAGACCAAATCTACCACCATGGCGTCCTCATCCGCCACCAAGAAGGTTCACTGGTCTCACCGCTTGAAAGAGCAGATGCAGTCGGTGATGGATGAGAACACCTTTTTGAAGCAAAAGGTGGACGTGCTCAATGGTGAACTCAATAAGTTGCAGCTACGGTCGCAATCGTCTTCTTCCAATCAAGCACAGAACCCAAGCGCTGGCAACGACCAGAACGACGAGCAGGACGGTGGCAACGACCAGAACGACGAGCAGGACGGTGGCAACGACCAGAACGACGCGCAGGACGAAGACAGCGACCCCAGCAGTGGAGACGAAAGCACTGACGAGGGTTTCATGACAGTCTTCATCATCAGGGACTTTGACATCAACAAGTCCTACGAGGTTGTGGTAAAGCCGTCATGGCGATTGAAGACCTTGAAGTCTGTGATCGTCCAGAAGTGGAACGTCTGTGTGAATGACCTCGTCTTTTCCACAGGCGGACGCACCCTCATCCCTTCTTTGACTTTCATTGACAACTCCACCAAGGGCAACACCTGCATCCACATCGGCATCACAATCAAAGGCGGTGGAAAGAGGGCACAGAGTGGGGTGACGAAGAAGAACAAGGACATGGAGTTGAAGACCCTTAAGGAGCACATTTCTTCTTCGTTGCTTCGTCTCAACGCGGTGCCCAACCGCAGTGGCTACATCGACGCAACCAAGAACGACGTCTTGGTGCTTGTGAAGTCGTTGGAGACCAATCCCAAGGGCGTCATCACTGGCTTGCTCCCCCGATTGACCAAAGACACCTTGAGACGCTTGACATCCGAAGTTGTCTCATCCTCAACGACCCGTGCCTCTGACAGGTGCAAGAAAGTGGGAGACATTATCTTCCATGGACGGATGGAGGAGTTGGATGAGGTCATGTTCCAGAAGAATCTCGTGTGTGAGTTGGTCTATGATGCGCTTCACTTCTGTTTGTTGTCAGAGTTCGGCGACATTGGTGGGAACATCAGCTGGGGTGAGTTCATTGACAAGATTACCTCCGTTCTATCCAGTCCGCCAGAAGATGACCCGAACAACATCAACCTTGAGGGCCTTGGACTGTCCTCCTAAAAGGTGGGCAGGTGGTATTGGCAATAAGGATTTCCATATTGCACTGTCGCACGGGGATGGTTCGCAATACAACCTCAATTTACCCAGTTTTCCTTCAAATTAGGTGGGGCAGGCGGTATTGGCAATAAGGATTTCCGTTTTGCATTTTGTTCCAGAAGCGGTCTGCAATAAGACCCTGCCATAAATGCAAGGGCTTCCAAAAAGACCTTTTACATCATGCGCTAGCATTGAGACAAAAAAGAGTGTTTGAGTGAACAGGACTGACTTCAACTGAAGTCAAGCGGGAGGAGGTGGCAGACCTTTTCAGAAGGTCTTGTTTGTTGATTTGGGAAACAGTTTTACTCCCTTTCTGTTTAGGGGGGTCATTCTCTCTTTCCTGCGGGAAATTGGGAATGAACCTCCGTGTGTCTAGAAAAAAATGAGAACATCAATGTTAATCGGATGTGCGACGCTAAAAGTGTCACGCATCTGATGAGGGGATTGGCGGTTATTTGTTTTTTTTACTATCCATTCCATAATTGTAATTCGGTCTGGGTGACCATGTATGTCACCCATCCTGTCCGAGCAAGGAGTGAGTGGGGAGCGAATGGGTCAAGGAGAGTTAAGTATACCCACCACTCCTTGCTGAAAAGGGAGGGTTGATTATGGAATGGACAGTTTTTGTTTTTTAAATGGCATCAGCCATCAGGCAACAACCGACCCTTCTTTTGTTTCAATGTTGATGATGCTGGTTGATGCTGATGATGCTGGATTTTTTATGATGCTGTGGATGCCTCACACGCCTTCAACCAAAACAACCTGTAACACCACCACAACAACAACAACAACCCCAACCCCCACGTGTGAGTCCTGCTTGTCAGAAGGCACCTCCCTCGACGACTACAAGGTATCGGGCGGGCGGGTTTTAACAAGTATATCACTAATCAAATCAGTAGGAATTTTGTATAACTCATCTTGTTTATGTTTGATGTATCCCTCTCCCCAACTATCCCTTTTTCCTGAAGGCAACCGTTGTGCTGATTCAACATGTTTCCCATTCCTAATTTTCCCACAATCCCTATTACATAATGGTCTAGGTTTCCAAGTTTCAATGTTTGACCACAACCTCGTTCTCTTCCGATAATTAAACCCGTATTTACAATAATCCACATCATAGTAGTTTAAACCTCTCATAAACGGTTGTTCTTTTAATAATCCTGTTTGGGGATTTTCTATTATCCAGTATTTCGGTTTGAAATAATCTATAATTTCAAGAGTTTTCAAAACAATACTATTAGCATAATCTATCTTTCTAACCCCAGTGGTTTTAGCCCTGCTGTATTCGGTGCATGGAGGGGATGCCCAAATCACATCAAACTCACCCACATCAAACTCTTTATAATCCCAACTCAAAATATCAGTATTGATATTTGCATTTTTCAAATCAAGGGAAATAACACTAAAACCCAAATACCGAGCAACCCGACCAACCGAGCCTGTCCCTGAAAATAACTCTAATAATTTCATATTATTAGAACTATTTAGACAATTATTTTATGGAATAATGCCCATATGGTAATGAAGTGAAAGCATCAATATAAAGCCTTTTATGTTCATAATTACTTAGAGATTGCTTTACTTGAGACATTGAAAATAATTGATGGTTGCGACTACGAATAAAATTATATGTTATTTCATGCTTGTTGTTTTGAAATAATGCTTCGTGGTAGTTCTGATACGACAGTTCTTTGTTAACTTTGTGTTTCACTACACCTTTTGATTTCTTATGTTCATCATCCTCACCGTGAATTGTGAAGGCATAAGATTTAGGTTTTAATCCGATGAATTTAGTAATGATTTTTCCATTGACTTCATCTTTGTACATTCCTAAGACCTTCTTCTTAGTTTTGTCATGACATGGATGCTCAACAGGATAGTCGCTAAAATCCATGTGTTGCTTTATATCATTGAAATCCTTATAGACATCATCAGTCATTGTTTGAATTACATAACTGTCAGTATCTGTATATATCAATTTGATATTTTCATTATATTTCTTTTTCAATACACCATAGTAAAACTCATACATATGTAATTTACTCAAATCTAAAATTGTCATTCCTAAGAAAATCGGTTTATCCAATTTCAGCTTCGCTTTAGTTTTTTCAACTCCTACCAGATTTTCATTTATAATAAATATGTTTTTGAATGTTGGATTATTAACACAGTTTTCATATCTTACCTCATTATCAACTAATTCAAAATCCATATGGTTTCGTTTGTCTTCCATAGTTTTTCCGTACACCGCGTTATTCATTAATTTGAATAAATCTTTCTCAAAATCGCTTTTGGCTTCTTTCCTTTTACCAGTGTTGAAGTCAATCCACGGTTTCAACCATGCCCTCTGTTGAAATTTTATTATCCTATGGACTTTACCCATTTTCTTCCCATTTTCAAACAATACTGTAAAGTCTTGATATGAACCACATATTTTTCGTTATCCTTTAGATTTAATATTAACTTACTTGCTTTCTCGTCCTTGGGACTTTTACCATCATAATATATTTTGAAGACTTGCTTTTGATAGTCGGAAAGCATATTCACATTTACATTCATTATTTCAGGCGCTAGTGGATAGTCTGAGTGGAAATCATGCAATGTTTCGGGATATTCCAAATCAACTTCCATAATATAACCGAACTCATCGCTTTCATTCCATTTTTCAACACTGGGCGTTTTCTTTGCCCACTTGATATCTTTTAGCGGTAACTTCTGGGACATTGCTAAGCCATACAAGTTATTAGCATCCAAGTAACTAATATAATTTGATGGCTTGTTCTCATCATATGCTTCCCCCATATACTTATTATTTGCCACCGCTAATTTATGACTAACCTGACACATACCACCTCTCATTCCCTTTTCAACCATCTCAAACATTTCTTGGTCATGCAATTGTTCTATTTCAACACCAGTTTTTAGAAGCATCGCGTCCCATGCGAAATTTGGCAACGTATAATAATGAGCGGGGTCTAAACCGTAGTATTCCATACACAAGTCTCTAAAGTTTTCAAATACATCGGTCAGTAGTAAAACATCAGTTCTTAAATACAAGTCGTGATACTGCCCGAGTGTTCTAATCCCGAAGTGCTTCCATACTTTCAGTGCCCTTTCATAATCTTTATCACTTACATGTTCTTCACTCAATTTACTGTAAAACGCTTCTTTCGGTGGTAAAGCCCTTTCCTTAAATCTTTCAAAATCATCAAAGTAGTCATAGGGATAAATACCCTTATCAGTCAATAAATCCAAATCTTCATCGGTTTTAACATACGGGTTTCTAACGCTGTATCTGAAATTGTTCTTCCAATTCTCACGCTTTTTATCATCCTCATATTTACTCAACTTCACCAACTTATCCAACGAAGACGATAAGAAACTGAAACTGTCCTTGAAACAAAGATTTTTAAAACCAAAGGTTATAAACTTTTCGCTGTTCTGAGCGATACATTCTATTTTAGAATTCTTGTTCAGTTCGTGAGCCTTGTTGATGATTAAGTGGGCATCGTAGTTTTTAAGGTTATGAAGAAACACAGGGATTTTATAATATCTCATACTAAAACCAAGATTACAATCATCGTGGGCGCATCCTCTGTAAGCTCCAGTAAAGTGACAATGGTCTCGAACCTTCTTGTCCTCAGGTTTAAAATCATTTCCACAGATAAAGCAAGTAGTAGCATTTTCAAAATCTTCCTTGTCCTTTTCAGTCATGATTATCTCTTTTACTTCCTTCATCCTACTAATAATATCTTCTCTGACTTCATTGATTTTTTCAACAAATTTATCCATACAATCTTCACCTCTGTATAAGTAAGGCTCACTACTTCCGGTTATAGCATTGACTACATTAATCATAAAACCACACGGACGATGATTTTGATATGATGTAGTTTTAGCTTTTGCCGATTTGCTTTTAACATCAATAGGCACAGTTAAACATTCGAAGTCGGCATAGATTACGAATGGAGCTTTAAGTTTCTTGAAATGGTTTTTGAATGCTATTTTTTCACCTGCTTCTGGCATTTCTATTTTTTGACCCTCAACTGCTAGACATCCCTGTTCTTCGTGTTTCTTTAAAAGTTCTTCTGATTGAAAACCATGAGAGCAGGTTCTACAATGATACTTTTTAACCTTCTTTTTGTTAGTCTGACTACTCATTAACTTATCGTAATTTTTGATATAAGCGTAATGCGATTTAACTTCATCAGTCAATTTAATTAAATCGATTTTGCGTTGCGCTTGTGGGTTGTTGCTTCTTTTGTACAATAAAAGAGTTTTACTATTCGTATCGGGGTTTATGTAATAAACATTGACCGATATGTGTTTGTTCTGTTCTTCAAGTAGTTCAATCTCATCATTACCTACTGGAAAGTCAATATTATCCCACTTGATGAATTTGTCATCTACATATTTCTTATAATGATACATGTCGCAGGGATGGTCTTTTTTGAATAACTCATAAAATCCACATTGAATGGAATATTTAAAACATAAGTCGTCCTCATTTTTAATATTAATACAAGCCTTTTTGTTTGCCACCCAGTCGGGTAATGGAATGAATGATGAACCACGGGTAGGATTGTACCTATCATAACTGATGACTAACTTTTCAACTTGACCAAGAACCAGTCCCGACTGAATGTAGTCGGTTATTTCAATTTGTGTCTCAATGTCGTATTTCAATGTGTCTCAATGTCTTAAGACGGTGTTCAACTCGTCGGGATTATGAATATTGTATCTTCTGCTTCTTAACCGCCTTTGAATAAGTTCGTTGTCGGGATTTTTGAATGATAAATCGGTTTCCACGATTATTTTCATGTTCGGGTTTCTGTTCAGGAATTCGGCCAGTCGTTGCTTCTGGTATTTTAAGTAGGATAAACCTTTCAACCCCTTTAATCTTATATCACTTACCGAGTAGGTGTTGGCGTATCCCTTGAACGCTTGTTGCTCGTCTGTGATTT